ACACCTTTTGTATAATTTAATGGTAAAAACTTTGCTCAAAATCCTATTGTACCTGATAACAGCCAGTAGAAGACTACAGAAAAAATAATCTTGACTTATCGTATAAATTATTAATATCAAAAATGTATTTCTTTTTTTTCTTTTTACATATTTTGTTAAAAGGCCAAATAAGGACTTCAAACCAAAAAAAAGTAATTTTCTGTTTTGTTTTATTCTTGGATCGGGCTTTAAAGGGCTAACTAACTACGCTCACCCAAGCTAAGCACCTTATTAGAGCATCAAATGGAATGAATGTAATAAGTTTTACTGTTAGTCGATTTTGGGTGGAAGATAGAGGGGCGGGGGGGCAGACTCAGGTCTCGGTTTGGTCCACAGCTACTCCTATTCCATCAGTCTGATGAACCAAGGTAATTTGATGGGCTTTTATTGATGTTGTGAAATGACGGCTTCCTCAGGATGTGTACCTCCCAGTTCACACCGTAAAAGCTCACTGCAACGCTGGCTTCTCACAGGGATGGTCTCGTTTCTGTACTACAGAACAACTGCTTAACCAAAGCATAGTCTCTGTTTCCTCATCCGCGGTACAGAGGGTAGGGGTTGTGATGAGACACTGCAGCCAGGCGCTCTGACGGCAGGATAGAGGAAGGGGCCTGTCCGTAGACTTAGTTCCAGGAGATTCCACATGGAAATTGTCTCTCCTAAAAGTCCAGTGCTTGGGCAAAAGAGTGCGCTAAGTATTTAAGGTGCTGGTTTTGATGGTGGTGGGCCTGCCTGCCTGCATCACAGCTTTTGCTGCAGCTCAGTTGTCTCACAGGAGGTTTGGTCTGCTCTCATGATTGTCATCTGAGCTGTTGGATTTTCTGGAAGGAATGCGCACAGCAGCGCAGTCAGGAGGCCTGCTCTTGCCTGCGCAGTCATGGTCTGCTGATGCCCATCTTAAAGGGACCTGCTGACAGTCATTCAGTGGTCAGACTGTAATTATTTCAGCAGCGTTTGTGTCACAACAACAGATCCAGAAAGGAGATCGATATCAGGTTGATTTTTCAAGTTAAATTTCTCTTCATTATCTCAATTTTTCCACAGAACTAGATTATTTGAACCAAACTGCACTAGAA